CAGCTGATCAGCTGCAGCAGGAAGTTTGTCCTGCAGTGTGGGCTGCACAAAGCTGCAGCAGGTGCTAAATAATTTAAAATAATATATTTTAAATAAAAATGCCATGCTGATCATGCGTCTCATCCATCAATCAGCCAGTTGTGTGTCATGTCCAATCTTATTTTGAAAAACCACAATAGACCGAGTTCACAATAAACGAACCGCGAAGTAGTGAGGAACTACTCTATTAGCTCATTTTAAATTTCTACACTTTTGCGGGACACTGCTAGTTTAGTTTGTCTCTGTTTTCTCAACCAAACACTGTCTGTGTTCTGTTAACGGTGGTCTTCTACAGATATGGTGAGCTAGCAAACAGCATTCAGGAGAGGCTCCACAATGTCTTGCAACTTTTGCAGGGTTCTCATGAGTCACACAGGTGCACAGTCCTATCTCCTAAACTTTGAACTCATTCAAAGAAATTGTGCTACAACTATTATCTTTAAACAAATCACAACGTTGTCATAGGCGTGTTCAACCTGTCTCAAGACTGGAGCTGTATATTGACACCTGAACCTGGAGATCCGTCATCTGAAGCAAATATCCTGGTCTAAAAAACTACACTGATGGGAAATAATATTTATTGGAAAACTGGTACACTTGGGGGGTGGCAGTCAAGGTGAGTATGAAACGAGACAGGGTGGGTTTGATGTGGGCAACAAAAAATAGGCACAGCAAAGAATGCAGTTTAACAAGTTGAGCACACAGATAAAGGCAGTCATTTTCAAAAACTGGTTGCATGCAATGCAGCCACATTGATGGTGATTACCTTAACCCTAGTGATGGTTATTTGGTTGCAAATTCTCAAAACATAGTGGGACTGCAGTTGGAAAATTTGCCCATTTCCCTGCAATTTGTTGTTACTAATTAGTTACCAAAAGTCACAGCTCAGTAAAATACCACCTTGAGCATGAAGAGAATTGCCCGTTTGTCATTTGGTGTCATCATTGCTGAGAGGCTCCAGAAAGTATCAGTCTGCAGGGAAGTAAGTGAGTGAACTCTTGGTCTGACTGTGCCATTATATCCACAGCCTCAGCACCAGTAAAGATCAGTGAGTAAATTCACACCTTCTAAGTGTGAACTGATGGTTGTTCTAGTTTATCCAACATGGAACTTGCATAATCCAATGTCCAAGTTCAAAGGGAGCACACTAATATTTCATAGATACATTTTTCATAAGGAGTTAAGACTTGAATACAAAAGTTTTGGTGCTTTATAAGACTTACCTTGGATAGGGTCTGTGAATTGGCAAGACTCTCTGAGAGGCGAGGGTAGGTGTAGGAGCTGTACGGGTGTGCCTGTGGAGGGTTCTTGAAAGCCCCACTGGCTGCATAGGGAACATTTTGCTCCTGTAGTCCAGATCCTGACCGAGATCTCTGCCTGATAGCTGGTGTAGGACTGGTCTGGGTCACATAGGAGCTCTTGGGTCTCTTGTCATAGTCGTCCCGCAGACCGTAGTAGCTCCACTCGCTGTCCGGGTAGTTAATTTGCTCGCTGTGAAGAGAGGCGCGAGATGGCGTGCCAACTGAAGTGTCCCGGTAGTCCTGGCTGGATGAGCCTCCCACTGACACGCGGTAGTAGCCACTGGAGCCCACTCCACTCCCCACTGTGGAGGCCACCTCGTCAGCTGAGCGCCCTTTGCTCTCTAAGTAGGTGTGATAGTCTGGTGGAAGCTTCCCATAGTCTGATTTTTGAGGCATGGCGTCTGGGTAGAAGTGGCTGCGTATGGGATGTGAGTGGCCGTTCTGCTTGGTGAACCGGTAATGCCTCCCGACAGCCCAGTCCCCATCTATGGAGATGCTTGGCTTGCCAGGGTCCAGTGAAAAGTCCCTGCTGGAGGTGTCCAGGTCACAGGAGTAACGAGAGTAGTAATGGTTGAATCCATTCTCCTCTGGAGCAGTGAGGTGCCCACTACCCAAGGGTTTGGAACTGGTTCCAGCCTGTTGGAGGCCTGGTGGGCTCTCTTTACGCAGGGAGTTGGAGCGTGTAACTGAAATGTTGTCAAATTCCTCCAGAAGGCCATTGATGGACGCATCTTTGGGTGGTCGGTTCCCTCGAACGATAGTCTAAAAGAAGAACAAAGACATTTACACTTAGTGTATCAGAGATCCTCGTTCGCAAGAGTTTAATAAAGACAGACCCAAATTCAGGTAAATAATTCCTGACAGAAAAGTGATTGAGGCTGGTTCAATCTGCATTAATTAACTGCAACCATTTCCAGGCAGGAATTTTATTTTAAGCATATCTGGACTTTGAAACAAGTATGAAATCAATCATTACTTGCAGTAAAGGAATGCATTTTTCATACAAGGGATGCATTTCTCATACAAAACAACAGCAGGCATTGGTCTACACCACTACTAATCATTACAAAAACATGCTGGGAAATGCATGAAGCTTAAAGGTGGAATACCTCATGAAGCTAAGAGAAAACTACTTAGACTGGGTTAGACCCTGAACCATTTCCCTTGCAACAAATATGCTTCATTTTCAGTGGGCTGATTAGGATCCATTAATAGTTGTGGAGTTAGGTTTCATGCTTGTGAGTCGAATGAATGCACTGACGGGCGCGTACAAATAAACAAGCGAGAGAACAGCCACGCTCACATCTGCTTCAAAGAAAGGCAGCTCACACACGAGCAGTGCCGATGATCCCCTCCTACCTCGTTAAGCTCTTTACAAAACTGTGTCGTGAGTCATGTGAAGCCTGGCGCTACAGCGTGACACCTCCGACTGAGTGCATGAACGCCGTTCGTGCAGCGTGGACTCCCAAATTTGGAGAGTAATGGTAAAAGCTGGACGTGTAGCTTTTATCTGCTGTCTCAACTACTTGAAGACTAATGGAAGCACTGCATTTGAAGATAGAAAATACCTGAAATTAAAGCTGACAGGAGGCTGAGCTGCAGGAATCCTTTGGATTTCAAACTCTTACATAATCTGGGAGAGCTCTTTGACTGAGCAAATAAATCTGAATCTGTTTCCCCCTCCATTATCGCATGCACAGTATGTACCTCATATTTCATGTTCGAATCTTTCGCCAGACGTGGGACCCCTTCTTTCTAAAGCAAACATTATGAGTTAAATGCACTGTAGATTGAGTTTTTCTTCACAGGCACCGCGATGGAACTCGCCCAAAGGTTTGGCAATTGTTTTTATGCTAGATTCCTTTCTTGATGCAACCACAGACCACCGAGCTACCGTAGCCCTCTGTGTGGAGCAGAGAGCTGCTATCTAGGGCGCCTGGGGGAGCACATGGGAGGAGGGGGTAAGGGTCTCACTCATAGTCCCAGAGTGGAGAAAATGAGGGTGGAGGCAGATGTGAGTGCATCACCTTTTCCACAAACATTTTGATGTTATTGTCAGCAGGGGGGATTTGAACCAGCAACTTTCTGATCACAGATTCAAGTCTCTAACATCTGCTCCACTCCCCCAGCAAATAAAGTGGAGAGTTTATTTAAGAAAAGAAATGTACACGTTATAGAACAGGGGTTCCCAAACGTTTCCATGCCATGACCTTCCAAACAGCATTAACTTCTGGCCGACACCCCCGCCCCCCCAAACCAACAAATAATGCTATAAAGCATGTATAGAATCATCAACTTTTATAACGTTTTAACTTTTATTCACTATATTCAATTAACTATTACGGCTGCTGAGCATAAAAATGTTAACTAACATGTTTTAAACACTATTATATTCCCACTGGAAAAAAAAACTTTTCAACAAATTGTTGACCAGAAGAACAAAACAAAAGAACTCTAACCTCTCTCTTAAGCGTGTTAATCTGGAAATGACAGATACAGATTGCTCTAGTGGGAAATTTTTATTATTATTATTACTATTTTTTATTTTTGCTTAAAAAATGTTGGTTTTTTTTACTTTTCTCTCCAGCTTTCTGGGGGCCCCATAGCGCCCCCTGGCCCCCACTTTGAAAAAAACGAACCTGTTATAGAATATTTGTGTCTTTACAAAAAAATATACAAACCAATATTTAAGTGTCCTAGTTACTCTAATCATCAGTCTTTTAATGCCACATGCAGTGACTTGTCAATCAACTGAGGTGGCACCTGGGGTGGCCTGTCAGGTCCCAGGGGAGGCAATTGCCACCTTGGCCACTTCTCTGGCTCCGCCCCTGCACAAAACATGTCTTGCTTCCAATAAATGTTGTATTTTTTGGGCTCCAGGTTTATAGTAAGTTTGTCCCAAACACTGGAAGCTGCACTCAGATGTGGGTCAGTCCGACTTGTGTTATATTTTAGGAATTTTACAAAACAAGCCAAACAAGCTGTAGTTAACACAAGTTAGAACATTAGCTTCCTCCTTCAGCAAATTCAGTAAGCTACCAATACATTTCTCCACATTTATTTGAAAAACTTCACCAAATTTTAGACTTAAACGAGAGCTTATCAATTTATAGTTATTAAACGCAACCCCCACAACTTTATTCATCTTGTCTCGATGCCCAGCTTTCGGCCCTGGACCTACCGACACTGTTGATGACTGTCAGTCATTTCCATCACTGCAGGTGTTTTGTTGAACCTGACTCTCAGACCAACACTGGTAAATCAGCAGTTTAGCCCTTTTTGACAGCCCGTCTCATAACTGTCATTCACTGGTTTGTCACATGTGCTGAGGCAGATAATCATCTCTCAACAGTATTATGCTGGTAGGAGAGATACTGTCACTGAAAACACCCTCCCTTCTCATCTCCTGCATCTATGACAGCTCAACAAAGCTACCGCAGCTAATAAAAATGGAAACATTACTCCAGACTACCAGACAGGAGTGGATAGGGTCACAGTTTGCTAAACTATGAGGCGCAGCACAATGACACTTTATATGATTTTACAAAACAGAAAACACATTTCACAATGCACACAAACAAAACGAATACCATATTTGCGAACAACTGCCACAAGCGTATTTGCATAATGAAACAAAAAGTTCCCAAAACAAAGGCAAATATTTGTTTCCTTTTTAATAGCTGACATATTCACTGAAATCTTGTATTAAATTTTGTTTTGTTGAATCGTGTACCGTATTTTTCAGACTATGAGGCGCACCGGATTATAAGTAGGGATGCACCGATCCAATTTTTTTTTACTTCTGATCTGATCCCGGTCCCCAAATCTGGATATCGGCCAATACCGATACCTTTCCAATATCATCATCATTACTGATTTTATATGAGGCTGTAATAATCTCCTCTCTATAGACAAGTACAATTTGTACAAATACATGCATGCATGTCCAAAAAGGCAAGTAACAACCAACAAATGTACATTAATACTGTTGTACATATATACTGTACAACAATATTAATGCTGTTTCAAAGTTAGAATTAAATTCTAACCCAAAAATATGTTTTATTATTCCTAGATATAAAGTGGATATTAAATTGATTGACTGTTTGTTTAAAGTTATTCTATTTTTTTTAAATAAGGGGCAAATATTATAAGAATTTTTTCCCTTCGTTCTGCACTCTTTTCATTCAATGTTTTTTTTATTATCTTTTTGATGTTTTTGTTTATTTTAAATGAATGAATTTAAAAAAATGTCTTCAAACATCTGCTAAGTTCATGGCATAAACCAACAGACATGTTCCTGTTTTTAGTATTTTACATCGCTTTATAATGTAGCTGTTTTTGTTTCGTTCTTTTTAAATATAATTTTCTTGTCATTTTAAATTCATATGCTTTTTTATGATTGTCTACTGTTGTACTGATAAATATCTCCTGGAGGGGAAACTATATCTTGGCTGCAAGTATCAAGCTGCGAAATCCTTCATTTCCTAAACATTTGAGCTCCGGGGTTTCAGTGACGTCTTCTTCTTGTTCAACCCGAAGCAGGCAGTCTGATTTCGTTCAGCCGCACTCAAGTCTGTCCCTCCTCAGAGACGGGCAGACTGAGCGGGGCAGATTGGACGAGGCTGGCCGGGGTCAGGCTGTCTGCTTCGGGTTGAGCGAGAGCAGCGCCACGCTGAAGCTACGGAGCTTGAATGTCCAACATGAAACTAACTTTACCGTGGTTTAATGTGGCGCTATGGCTCTGCAGACATTGCGCGTTGCTGTCTTGCTTTGTGGTGTTTAGTGTAAAATACTTCCACACAGCGGACATGTTTAGATGAAAACTTGGTTAGCTGTTAGCCACAGTGCTACTGCACGTTGTAGCTGGCTGCAAACTATGAAATGGATTTCTTGAATGTGAGGCGGGTCTTATTACTCTGGGTTCATGAGACACGCCGCCATTCAGGAAATCCATTCCATAGTTTTGAAGTCAACGTGCAGAGCAGCTGCAGGGAATCACATGAGAAGTTTCAGCAGACGCAGACATGCATCATGGGTCGGAAATCTCTGCAGGTTGGATCGGAACAATCCGATACGTAAATTATGCTGGTATCGGAAGCTGATACCGATACAGGATCGGCCCCATCCCTGATTATAAGGCGTATTAAGAGAAACAAAACATTCAGAAAAGTCAAACTTTATTCAACTCATTCGCAATAACTCTCAACGTTGTTCAGTTGTAACACATAAAATCGGTTCAAGGTCAGTAAGCACAACTAGAATTAATACATAAGGTGCACTGGATTATAAGGCTCACTGTTGATTTTTGAGAAAATTAAAGGATTTAAAGTGTGCCTTATAGTCCGAAAAATACGGTAATACTCAATTTAAGTGTTGTTTTGCACCTCAAGACCACTGTAACAAATTAATTCATTATTTTCCCCATTATAGAGCCAAACATAGAGATCACTGAAGGAGCCTGTACTGCTCCTTTGATGCTGTTTTCACACATTTCCGTCCTTTATTCCACTTTTAACTTTGCAAACCTCCTCCTCTCACTTTAACACTTGGGTTGTTCTCCTCTGTTTTAAAGCTAAAGGCGCCTTGGTGCTGTGAACTGGAACCCAAGGTGAAAAAGCCAATAAAAGCAGTCAGTGGAAGCCAGCTGAAAGGCTGCGGCTGCACGACGGATGATCTTTTGAACAGGTCACTGAAAGGAAATCTGTCACGTCGAGGACAAATGTTACATCAACTGAAGGTTTGGACTCGTATAAGAAACG